TTGATTTTCAGTTTATGCAGGTTTTCAACTCACAACAAATTAAGTTGACTGTGGGGAATACATGTTGAGGCGCCCCCTCTGAAAGTACTGACAGCACTTTATCATTTAGCTGAGAGAACATGAGCAACCAATGACCTAAATCAACTCAACAGAGGTCCTGTAATAATCAATACAGCATGCTTCTGGGGAGCTATGCAAATATGATGTTCTCAATAAATATGGAATGAAGTCTTCAACCTTAGTGATATATTTTTAAACTTTAATAATAATTCTAATTTTTGAAAACAAAAATTCAGGGTCTCCTAGTAAATCATCTAATAGAATAAGTAGGACTCCATAAAAACTTCAGGAGGACCTTCCTGGCCCTGCACAGTGGAATGAGGACATATCTTTGAGAATCATAAGACCATCAGGATTCAAATATTTTGGTCTCAGGTTCTTTTTTTTTAAATTTTCATTTTTTTAAATGAGGTTGAATTCACAAACATGAATATCTACTATAAAGTATGCAATCCAGTGACTTTCAGTGTATTCACAATGTTATGCAATAACTTCTCTTTAGTTTCTTTTTCTTTTTTTGTACTGGGGATTGAACTTGGCACAAAACGAAGCAGCCATTTACTGAACTCAGGGGCACTCGACCACTGAGTCACATCCTCAGCCCTATTTTGTATTTTATTTTGAAACAGGGTCTCACTGAGTTGCTTACAGCCTCACTTTTGCTGAGGCTGGCTTTGAACTTKYGATCCTCTTGTCTCAGCCTCCCTGGCCGCTGGGATTACAGGCCTGCACATGCCTGGCTTCTCTTTAGTGTCAAAAAAATTTTTTTAATCATCCAATACTTTTTTAATCATTCTATACCCATCAAGTAACCCCCATCCTGTCCACTGTCTTTATAGAATTGTCTCATTATGGACATTTCACATAAAAGGAATTATATGCAACTTTTTTTGTGTCTGGCGTCTTTCTTTCATTGAGAATTCAAACCCAAAGAATGGATTAAGAGACACACAGTATAACAGAAAATTGAGGCTTTAATGACAGTCTTGTAAGATTGGGAGTCCCCCGAGGGGCAGGCACACCCAGGTCTGGTACAGTCAGCACTGTACCCTCCAGAGCTTGTGATCCCCTTAGCCCCGCATTCCCCTTTGGCTGAGTACCCAAGGGTGTGCAGTCTTCGAAGGTCACCTAGGTTTTACTGTCTCCTGTTGGGTTATTTAATACCTTTAGTTGTCCCCACCTCTCCTGTTCTCTAGTGCCTGAAAATTTCCCTTGGATTAAACATCTTTTCGTATGCACACAACAGAAATAGTTGTGTACATGTTTCTGTTTGGACCCTTCTCTTTTGGGAACATGAATAAGAGCAGAATTGTGGAGTCAGAGGATAATTCTACATCTAGTGATTTGAGGAATCCCCCAATCTCTCTTCCACAGTGGCTGCACCATTTACTCTGCCCCCAGCACTTTATGAGGGTTCTTCTCCTCCTTCTTTTGTTGAAAGTCTCCTTGATGGACATAAAGTGATAGGTTTTTTTTTTTTGGGGGGGGGGTACTGGGGAATGAACTCAGGGGCACTTGACTCCTGAGCCACATCCCCAGCCTTATTTTGTATTTTATTTAGAGACAGGGTCTCACTGAATTACTTAGCACCTGGTTGTTGCTGAGGCTGACTTTGAACTTAGGATCCTCCTGCTTCAGCCTCCTGAGCTGCTGGGATTACAGGTGTAGGCTACCACCCTGGCTTTCCTTGAGTTTTAAAATTTGCCTTTTCAAAATACCTGCGCAATTGATGTGCTCCCTAGTCCTTCATCAGGCCCTCTTATCATAGCAACATTTATAGCAGCACAATTCACAATAGCTAAACTGTGGAACCAACCTAGATGCCCATCAGTTGATGAATAGATAAAGAAAACGTGGTATGGGGGCTGGGGATGTGGCTCAAGCGGTAGCGCGCTCGCCTGGCATGCGTGCGGCCCGGGTTCGATCCTCAGCACCACATACAAAGAAAGATGTTGTGTCCGCCAATAACTAAAAAATAAATATTAAAAAATTCTCTCTCTCTCTTAAAAAAAAAAAGAAAAAGAAAACGTGGTATGTATACACAATGGAAACCTATTCAGCATTAAAAGAGAATAAAATTACGGCAGGGAAATGGATGGAGTTGGAGAAGATAATGCTAAGTGAAGTTAGCCAATCCCCCAAAATCAAATGCCGAATGTTTTCTCTGATATAAGGAGGCTGATTCGTAATAGGGTTGGGCGGGGAGCATGGGAGGAATAGACAAACTCTAGGTAGAGTTTTTCTAATGGGAGGGAGGGGAAGGGAAGGGGCATGGAGGTAGGAAAGACGGTGGAAGGAGATGGACATCACTACCCTAAATACATGTATGCMGACACGAATGGTGTGACGACTTACTTTGTGTACAACCAGAGATATGAAAAATTGTGCTCTACAAATGTAATATGAATTTTAATGCATTCTGCTGTCTTATATAACAAGTTAGAATAAAAAATAATTAAAAACATTAAAGCTATTACAAACTCGGGAGGATCCCAAAGAGCTTTTGTTTGTGTAGATTTATATCTGTCGATATTTACCATACTTAAAAACTAAAAACAAGAAAAATTTACAATACCATTTATTAATTATTTCATCAACAATGGAAATGAACTCATGATATGAACTCATCACATAGCATGTGATTTCTTGAAAATTCCACTACTTCTGAGTGTGAACTAAAGAGTTCTCAAAGAGGCCATGTCTGTATTTAAGAGCTCCCAGATGGTTTAAATCTCACTGATTGGAGTGTTGTGACCTTGTGGAGAGATGAAATGTCATAAGAAGCTTAAATTGTATTGGATGATTTAATTAGGCTCCTTTTACAGCCATGTATCACGGGCCTCTGTGCCCAATCTAGCATTTTTGTGACCACTGGGTAAATGTCTGCTAAGCTTCATGGACCACTATTTAATTTTCAGACTGATAATGAGATGGTACTTCACTCCTGGAGGAGATTACCCTGCTTTACTGAAAACCGTGGAAGATTTCGCCTGGGGACCCCACCTAATTTATTGGCACTATAAAATACTTGTGCAATCTCTTTCCGGGAGGATCATGTCCTTAGGGAACCCTGTGCTTTGGGAACTCACGTCATTAATTTGAGTTGGTGTTCCCAGGGCTTGTGTTGGCTCAGAATAAACTGTTTTCTTATTTCAAATTTTTTATTTCTATTGTCATAAGTGAGGGAGAATAAAATAGGTAAGTAAACCTGAAATTAATAAGAAAAAAATGTTGATGTAATAGCCCCCTCTTTTCCAAAATGAGTAATGATTATACAATTCAGTTTTACTCAAGGAAGAATTTTTTTAAAAAATATTATATTTTAAAATTCTTGTCTGAGATGCCTCTCAAATTTAGTTTACCTAGAAAGCCTATATTTGGGAAAGGGAGCATGAAAAAGAAAGTCTGCTTTGTACTTGGCTGGTCACAGAAAAAAATAGAAAACTGTTCTTTAAATCTGAATGTAGGTCCTGGTGAATGTAGGTTCTTATTTATTATTGATTTATTTTTTGGTATCATGGATTGAACCCAGGGGTGCTTTACTACCAAGCTACTTCCCAGTTCTTTTAATTTTTTTTTTAAATTTTGAGAGAAGGTCTCACTAAGTTTCTGAGACTGGCCTCGAACTTGCAATCCTCCTGCCTCAGCCTTCCTACTTACAGGGATTACCGGCATGCTCCACCATGTCCTGCCCAAACACACATTCTTCTGCCTTTCCAGAAATGAAAACTGGTTGATACTTCAAACTTCTCTCTAATCTCATGAAATCACATGATGTTAAATTTGAACATCTGAGCCAACCGGTTTGAAGAAATGTCTCATGTGAGACTGAAGAAGAATGCTCAGAGGTTCTCAGCACCTGAAGCTGATGTTTTCAGTAGCAGTTGAGGGTGGGTGGGCACATGTAATGCAAACTGGTTCTCAGCTGGTTCCTTGGACCAGCACCATTAGAATCATCTGGAAACTTGTTAGAAATATAAATTCCAGATCTACTGACTCAGCAACTCCAGAGGTGGGCCCAGCGATTTGTTTTGAAGAAGGCCTCCATGCCTTCTGACTTGCTGAGCTTTTGGGTAACAGTTGAGGATCACAGGGGCACCTTTTCCACAGCAAAATTTTATCAGTATCATTCCCCCCATTCACTTCCTTCTTTCTTTCCTTCTTCCCATGAAYGTTGAATGAACTGATCCTTTTCAGTGTTTTTATGACATGTATTGGGAAATGAACACATTTGTACATTGTGTGTCTACTAGTAAACATCAAATTAGTGTAGCCCCAGCTCTGAGTATAATTTATAGCAATCCCAAAGAAGCCAGCTCTTAATGAGCCTAATAGTAAGATACAAGTAAAGCATTTTGATAAGTATAATTCATTCTCTGGAACATAGTTTACCCTCCTGTTCCTGACACTAGCATTCACTATTTGAAATCCTCTCAAATCATCTCCAATATTGAAGCTTCACCATTCCAAGGGATTAGCTGCCTTATTTTGATATTATCCACAAATGATTCTGCCACAGCTTTTTTTTCTTTAGAAATTCAAATCTGAAGCCTCAAAAGAAGAGGTTTGCGTTATAGTATTGAGCTAGGCTCAGTGTGCTAGTCGCCAGCCCAGAGTTCTTAAAGGCTGTTTAATAAACAAAGTGATCAGAATGGGCTAGCCAACCAGAACTGGGAAGGGTCCCCATGGATGAGATCCAGGCACATGTGGTGGCACAGGAAGGAGACTACTTACGTTAGTGCTAAGGCTTTACCTGGGATTTCCAAACTGGGAAATTGGGATGAAGTCAACACAAAGTTACTTTATATTGTATAGAATATGGAGAACATTCCATGCAGTTCTATCTTTAATCAACCCATGTCCACAAAGATAAGCCAGAGAGTTCCATTTTTCTTTAAAGACCTTGGAAATTCTGGATAGAAGTGGGCAGGTCTCCCTCTTTGATGGTGCAGATTGTCTTAGTGATATGGCAGCAGCTGCCTGATGTCCTGTGATGTGAATCCAGAGGTTCCCAAAAGCCAAGGGATGTGAGAGGCGAGATGCGAGATGAGCGTTTGACCTCTCTGACTTTGCTTCTGCCTCATGACTTCTGTTGGCTGTTCTTGGTTTCTCACCACTCTGGGTTTTCTAGATGGTTCTTCTACTCTTCTTCCTGTGGTGAAGTCATAGCCATATGGGTAATAATTGTGTCAAGGAAAATGTGGTCCCCACCTTATACCAATATGGGCAGAATATTCTACTTGAGTCTCAGCCAGAAGTGTGACCTGCTAATTTTGATTCTACCCCAGGATACCATTACCTTCCTACTTGGTGAAACCTGACCTTGCGATCTTGCCGCCCCTCTGGAGGCCCAAACTGGCCGCCCAGTCTTAGCCTCTGTTTTATAGTTCACTCTTCAATTTAGTGTTCAATAAGCGGGGTATGAGGAAGAGTCCTGGAAGCCCTCCTGTGTCCCCATTACTCCAGAGGCGGAGACTGAGTGGGTCTGAGGGAGCAAAGAACAGATGGGCTGTTTTGTGGCTAAATCCCAAGGGGCATATTACCTGAGATCTTCACTTTACATTTTGTTCTAGGACACGGTGGCTACTTCTTTTCTTCCTTCCTTATTTTAGTACAAGGGATAGAACCCAAGGCCTTACTCTCACGAGGCAAGTGAGCTATCACTGAGCTATATCCCTAAACAGGTGAGTGCCACCATGCCTGGCCCACGGAATCGAATTTTGAATGGTATTTAAATTATCCAAGATTGAACTTAAATATCCGTAAGTGGCTAGAGGCTGCCATGTTGGACAGAATGGTTTTTAGTTTTCTCAGTCCTTAATTAGCTCAAAAGAATATCAGGTTATTCCCTACCTTGCTTAAAGCTTCTCAGGGCAAACACAGAGCAGAGGTGTGCTAGGAATGTCTAACAATCAACCCTCCGAAAAACTTTGCCTGTTTCCATTGTGTAGGTACTCCCACCATGCTAAGCATCCAGCTGCCCACGTGACATCCCTGGACACAGAACTGGGAGGAGAGTCACAGTAGCACACCGTCCTGTGGTATTTCCATGATACAGGTACATTAGATGTGAATTACCCTGAGAGCAAAGATCTCAGTGAAATGCCGTAAAATAATTTGGAAGTGATCAGTTTTGAGTATGTATTGCCTTTGTTTTAATATAGTTTATTTGTTATACTCTAATTTTTAAAAACAGCTGTGCTTAAAAACCAGTTGATAGGGCTGGGGGTGTAGCTCAGTTTAGTAAGCTTGCTAGCATGTTCAAGGCCCTGGGGTTTGGTCCTTACCATTGCTAAACAACAACAAAACCAAACTATCCCCCAAAATCCCTGAAAATTTAACCAATGTGAGCTTGCTGTAACACTTCTCTGGTTCCTGGTGATTACTCCAAAACAAACCATTTAAAAATGACCTTCAGCAGTTTAGTAAGAGTCTATCTCAAAAAGAAAAATAATAAAATACTGGGTGGGGATATGGCTTATAGCAAAGAGCCCCTGGTCTCAATGGCCAGTACCACAAAAACAGACCAACAAATAAATAAAATAAATCTCGGGATGGGGTCCCATGATGGTCCAGTAAATTAAATGTAGAATATCTGTTAAGCCACAAGAGGGCGCCATCAGATGAAATTAGATTCTAGAAAGTAGGATTTTTTTTTTTTTTTTAAAGATTTATGTTTGAATCTTTCCAGAGACCATAATCCTGGGAGGTCTTGTGGGAACTCAGATAGTTTGAATCTCTCCAAAGACTGTAATCCTGGGAGGTCTTGTGGGAATTCAGACAGTTTCAGGCAGTCCTTTACTTCACTACATAAACTGAACCATGACTGCTCCCCAGTGGTCTGTCCTCTGTGTCTGAGGAGTCTTGGTCTTCAAGCTACCAAACGAAAAGGTCCTTGCCAAGTACTCAGCTTGGGGAGGGAGAAGACCTGACAATATGTCAGACACTTTACACGCTTCATCTCCTGTAATCTTGAAATACAGCCTTAGAAAGAAACAGGGGGATTGCCAGATCTGTGAATAATTCCTAATGCAATAACCCTGAAGGGCTTCTCATTTGCATTGAAATAATTTGTACTTCTCAGTTCACATGAGGAAAGTTAAGAGTGTATTCCTTCCTTAGGGAAGGAAGGAATGGAAAGAATCTGCTTTTTTTTTTTTCCCCCTCTCTGGCTGGGCTAAATGAAGACTCTAAGAGCTTTGGGTTTTGAGGGGAGGATCTGTATCTTACCAGGTCTTACTTGGGAGTTTATGTCAGGGTTGGCCAGAGTGGATTCTGGCAGGCAGGGACGTCCTGGATACTCAGAGAGTGACATAGTGGGTCTTATGGTCTACTCTCTAAAGCTTTTCTCAAGATGGTTTCTTAATTCTTAATACTCTTGGCCTAGCGCATAGCCCTGGTCAGTGCTTATGCTGCTGTTGTTACAGGGACCAAACTTTGGGACGGCTTTCCCTACTCTAAATGACAGCCTTCCTTGACAATGTGGGACTCACCATCTCCGCTGCCAGGTGAGTCCACTCAGAAGCAAGATGCTGATCAACAGGAAGACACAGCCGGCCACTGTCAACAGAGAGGGTGTTCAGCAGGGGTGCCTGGGGCTGGGCATGGGGCCTGCAGAAGCTGGGTTCCCAGAGCTGGGGAGAAGGTGCCCCAGATGAGCAAGAGCCTCCTGAAGGGTGGGCACTGCATTTTCCACTCTCCCTTCTCAGAATGCAGTTCCCACCCCCACGGATTTCTTAGGAGGCTCAAGGAGGATAAGGGCCAGGTGGGCCTGGAAGGAGAGTCTCTAGGGAAAGGAGCTGGTACCTCTGGGGTAAACTGACAGACAAGCAATTCGGATGCACTCTGAGGCCAGGCCTCACCTAAGGAGGCTGCGAGGGAGGCCTGTGTCTGGTGAAAGAATCATTGAAACAGAAGATACATGATAAGTACATGAGTCACTCTTGAACCTGCTCACATTTTCCAACTGCTGGTTTGCGGAGGTCCTGGAGCTAGACGTTCATACAGTTGTCCAGGCAGATGGAACTCCAAGGCTCACTTCCCCCTCGTATGTGGAAACAACTTCAGTGTTTATGGAGCGTGTTTTCTTTCTCTCCCTGGCCTCTTGCCTGGCTCATGGTTATGGGGGCTCCTTTTAGACCCACTCAAGAGGAAGACGTTGGGTCTGGTTTGAAAATTAACTTATAACCTATTATAACCGATTCTTGGGTAATGTTAGGATCTGGATTCACCTTCTACCCTTATTAACATGTCGTGTGAGTAGAGGACCTTTTAAACCAGCCAACCAACCTGTCCATGTCAGGGTCTGGTGTACATTTTGTCCACAGAGAAAAGGATGTCACCCACCTACTATCTGGTACTCCATCGTGAACAAGAACGTCTCCATGGTTGTTGCTACTTCTGAGTGTTGTTGGAAATCTATGAAAAGAGGGTGGGGGAGACATTCRGTTTATGGCAAGTAGAGTGCACAAGCTGGGGAGAGTGACTTCTCCATGGTCAACAGGGGGCAGATGCCTCATCCCTGTGCCTGGAGACCTCGGTCCTGTGGTTCCTCTTTCTGACACCTGCTTTGTGGGTACGCAGGCTGCTGAGGCGTGTCCCTGCTCTGGAGGAGGCAGCCGGGGTTGGTTCTCCTGACCCTGCCCATCTGCCAGAGAGGCTTGCATCAGGCTGACTGCATTTGCCCTTTTCCTGATCTGGCTTCGATGGCCAAGCGTCTCCCCATACCTGTTGTGGTGATGGTGTGGTAAGTCTCACTTTCAGGAAGATCATCCGTGCTTGTTTGAATGTCAACTTCATCTGGGAGAGAAAGTGTTGCTTATGAGGCCCAAGGTGAGGAGGCAGGAGTCCCCCCTCTTGCACCTGCCTACTGCAGCTKGCCCTGGATACTCCTGCTGAGGCATGTCTCCTGGGGTGGTCGCATCTCTAGGGATGGCACACCACAAGGTTCCACACCAGGGTCACTGGGAAACAGGTAAAGGGCTGCAGCAGAGCCGGCGATGGGGAATTCTGGCTCTGATCCTGGCTGTGCATGGAACTGTGAGCCGCAATTTCTCCCCAGTATCTCTGTTCAGCCCTAGCTTCCACCTTTGACTTGGAAATGGGTGCTAATAACCCAAGCACAGTGAACCATCACATGGAGTGGAAATGCACAAAGGGATAGCTTTCCTCTTTGACAGGTCCTCGGATCCTACCCAATGTCATTGTCCCGGGCTGGGATCAGTTACTCAGGCCCTCCCTCCCACTTGATGGGAGGAAATGATGGACATGCCCTGGCCATCAGGGTGGCTTGCTGGAGTCAGGCTGTGGGAAAGAAATAGTATCCCTAGAGAACCCCAGAGGAAGTCATGGGGCATGAGAAACCGTGGTGAGCAAAGAAACCGGAATTCTCACGGTGAATGTGAAATGAGTGAGATTTCAGAGCACATAGCAGAAGACCTCAACGTAGGCAGGTGGCATGTGTGCGAGAGCGTGCACACACTCATGCTTGAGTGAGCCCCTTCTCTGCGCTTTCGTCAAAGCTCAGGTGGGGACTTACCCAGGAAGGAGCATGGTAACAGTAGAGCACTTAACAAATGACAGGTTTACATCATAAATCTGGGAAAGGAAGACACGTGAGGGTGGCAGATTGCAGCTTGGGTAACTTGGGGAAGTAGTGGAAAATTTCAGGATCAGCTAGACCAAGGGCAGTATTTTTGAGCAGCATCCCTCTGCTTCAGAACACTTGAGAGAACTTCCTCTTCCATCTCTACTTATCCCCACTCTGGGCACAGGGCTACCTAAGGTGAAGGGGCCTTAAAGATCTCATTCTTGTTTTAGAATGAGAAGAAACTGAGGCCCAGAGCATCAAGGGGTTTACCCAGGGCCACATGGCAGGTAAAGTCAGGAATCCCACCCTGGTCAGACAGAGGGAGAGAGCAAGGGCGTTGGACACAAGAGAGGAGCCACCTACCTGAAAACAGATGGAGCTCATTTTCATCCAGGCATGTGAGCCGGGGTCGGGTCCACCTTGTTCCTCCACGGATGGTTTTGCAGACACTCAAGAAAGGGCCACTGTGTAGGGTCTTGTACCCCTGGATGCACTGGTAGTGAAGTGTCTGCCCCACCATGAAATGATAAGTTCTCTCTGTGTCTTCATGTTCCCACGCAGGGGGCTCTTGGCAGTGACCTGGAAGAGAGAAAGCTGGTTCTGAAGGCAAGCTGGGGAAAACATTGTGAATATGTCCAGGTGGCCTCTTGCTAGAGACTGGACCTTGGTGCTTTCTCTTTTGTTTGTTCTTTCATCCAACCAACACAGACTGAGAACATCCCTATGTCGGGAACCTTGTTAGGCACCGTGGGGTGGCACAGCGACCCACCAGGGTTGGACAGTCCATGGGGTAAGAACTATGAAGGCAGAAGGTGGTGAGGATCATAGAAGAGCAGAGAGTCTTGCTGGGGACCTGGGGAAATGAGTCATTCATTCTGACTGATGCTAACCCAGATGAGGAAGTGTCTGAGCCGGTTCCTGGAAGACACTGAGGGCTTTGAGAAGTGACAGGGATGGAAAGGACAAACTTAGCTCAAGGGCAAGGGCAGGTTCAACCCAAGGCAAAGAAAACTTGGATTTCTGTTGAAGAAGAAAGGAAATACATCCCTCAATGGCAGCAGGTGACCAGGGACAAAGCCAAAGCCCAGAGGGAAGAACTGAGAAAATCTCAGAGAAATTAAACATGAGCTCTGGTTAAGCTATGCCTGCAGCTTGATCCACATGAGTCCTGTTGAGAACTCTAAGCTCCCCTATGCCTGTAACTTTACATACACTGCCCACAACCCAGACTTGGCTGACCTTCGGCCTCAGAGATTGTGTTCTGTTCTGATTTAATCTCAGGATGCCACGCCCACTGTCCCCAGTCTGATCATAAGGAACTGTGTGTACCTTCCAACCCAAGACCATGAAACTGCACACATTTCATGACCTTCCAGATGCTCCATAAACCTCAGTACCCAAAGTAACCTCTGCAAATACTCTAGATAAGCCCTCTGATGCTGCAGGAAGCCAAATGACCTTGTCCTGAGCTGGCTTCTGTCACAGAGAGCCTTGAAAATCTTGACCGAACTTGAGTTCTAATCTCAGAATAAAATGTTCTTTAAAGGACAATAAAATCCATCACTGCCTGAATCTGTTTGAATTGGGTTTGCTTCTTTCAAATGGAAGCATCCAAACTATGACAATTCATAAAGCATCCATCTGCCGGATCCAGCTGGTTATCTCTTGAGTAAGGACAACACACATTGACTTCTGAAATCATTCAATCATTGTGAGGGTAATATGGGGAAAACAGAACAAAACACACATTACACATGTTTGGAAATTCTAGTGTAGTTCAAAGTCAGAGAGCAAAGGGGAAAACTACCACGGTGCATAGTGTCCCTGGGATTGGCCTCCTTCCCCTCATAATGGAAGCTATAAATAAATTCAAAGTCATTTAAAATAAGTACTCAGTAGAAAGATCCCTCATCTAATCCTGGAGACCTGGGATCTTACTCCAGTTCTATTATGGGAGTACTTTTCATTTCTTGGTGCCTCAGTTTCTTTAGTAAGTTGAAGAAATGCTTTCTGCTCCCTGACTCACCAGGTTGTGAGGCTCAAATGGGATTATACATGATATGGTAAGATTCTTTGTAAGGCTATAAAATTAGCAGAGGACTAATGGGTCTTCATATGGCCAACAGCTCCCGGCAAAGCTCAGGTGTTCCCAGTGGGCTCCGTTTCCTGACGTCATGCCTTAATGGAAGCATATTCACTTGAGGAAGCTGAGCTCACTCATCTCCAGCTCATTAGCCAGGAGATGTTTGTCTGGAGCCTTTAAGTATCACCAGGATAGCCCAGCACATTTTATAACTCCATCCTGTAAGAAACACCTGGACAAAAACCATCTTGTTTGTAAATCATCATCTTGTACTTAAGAGAAAACCAGAGGGTTTCCATGAGGGCAGGAACTGTTGTCCCACCCATGTTCGCACCTTCTGTTGGCAGAGCCTGGCACAGTGAGTCCCAATACATGCTTCTGAATTGGATTGAATTGAACCACATTGAATTCTATTTGGCCAGTTCCCAAATCACAGCCCAGGTTGGGTGCTGTTAAGGGTAGTTGGAGATGCTGAGCAAACAGCCTGCCAACATTCAGTGATGGTTCTTGTCCCCAGGATACCCTGAGAAGAGGAGAATGACATGCACACACGTATGGAGAGTGTGTGGGACTCAAGTCTCTCCATGGGGAAACACGTCATTCCCATGCAGGAGAAGGACAGCTCCCAGGAGTCAGCCAGTCAGTTGCTCAGATGCATCACTTACCTGCAAGGTTCACTTGGTCCACAGGCTGCAAGTGGCTTTGCATTTTTGTGGTTTTCCCTTCTTTCTGTTCTTCAGGTTGAGGTGTAACTTGTTTCCCTGTGTTCCTAGGGTCTGGAAGATAGAGAGGGGTACAGCAAACAGCTTCACAAATATTTAAAATGGGAAAACACATGGTTCATCTATTAATTGCATTGGCATTAATTCTCTATCTTGGTGTTGGTGTTGATGAGCCAGGGGCAAGCCCTCCCTTGGGTAGGCAGGGTTATCACCTGTCCCTGCAGGGGCTTCTACATATTCATGTACATAACRACAATGGCTACAAAATGTTTCTGGAAGAATTCAAAGATTTTCTGGTGGATAACCCTTTTTGTTCATATGTGTCTCACTAAAAGGGATCCTTGCTTGCTATCAGGCCTGTCAGTGGTGTGCATGGGTATGTGTGATGGCACACAGGAGGGGTCTGACTCCACCACCCCATGAACCCTTCACTCCCCTAATGCTATTCAGACCCTTATGATTAGAGAGGTGCTATCCTAAGGCTATGGCAGGAAAACTCCTCCTGTAATACCCCTCCCTGTAGTGAAGAGTTTRGCAAAGGAGTTGCAAGGGAGCACTCCAGTGGGGTGGGGGTCAGAATAAAGCAGAGAGCTGCTGGGAAACGACTCAAGCAGGTGCTTCCACAGAGCAGCAATCACCAGGCTTTATAGTAGTCTGACTTACTGACCCACACAATCTCCAAACAAGCCCATCACTTTCAGCACATTCTAATACCACAGGGTAGGTGTGAGGCCAATGCAGAAATGGGGCTTTGTGAGAGAGATTTGGGGATTCAAGGAGAAAGGTCAACAGCAAAATTGCAGTGTCAGATCAATTTAGTCTTAGAAACCCAGAAGAGTTCTTAGAGGTAGTAGACACCCTACTAAGCATTTGTTTAATGAGTGATTATTTCATAAACCTCTAATGTGAGTTATCCCATAGACTGGGCTGGCCGCTTTTTGTCTGCAAGGCTGAGTGAASGAAAGCTGAATTCTGTCTCATTCTGTCCTCCAGTTCTTTGTTTTTTGTTTTTGTTTTTTTGTTTGTTTGTTTTGAGAGAGGTGTACCAGGGATTGAACTCAGGGGCACTCAACCACTGAGCCACATCCCAGCCCTATTTTGTATTTTATTTAGAGACAGGGTCTCACTGAGTTGCTGAGGCTGCCTTTGAACTCATGATCCTCCTGCCTCAGCCTCCAGAGCTGCTGGGATTATAGGCATGCACCATMGTGCCTAGCACATTTTTTTCTTTCCATTGGTTTACAAAAAGGAATCACTTACGAGAGCTTACACACTGGCACTTGTTTTCCCAGGAAGAGTTTCCCGTACAAAGCATATAGGGAGACCCATTTTGTATTCTGCGGAACCCTCTCTTGCACTCGCAGGTTAACATGGTGCCGTTAACGTAGGACAAGGCTTTGAAGGTGGCATAACTGATCTCCAGTGGTTCACTATCACAAAACTCTGCAAAGAGAGAGAAGCAGGCTGTGAGTTCAGGAGGCCCTGGCCAGACCTTCACATATTTGATCAGGTAATGACTTAATCACATCTTTCTTCACTCCATTTAAAGAATTTATAGACATCCCACTTTTTCCTAGAAAGGAACCAAGAATCTTTGTAGGAGACATGGTTTAGGAGTTTGCACCTGTGTTACTCTCCAAAGTAAAATGAGTAAATTCTAAATGAGTGAAAAATTAACGAGGTTTTATTTTGAATATGCCTCGTGTTTAGCAAATACACACACAGAGAGGACTGTCAGGAAAGGAGAGGAAGAAAGACATACTGTTCAGGAAATAAGAATCATCAGGCTTTGTATAGTTAATGATTATGCATTTTTTTTGAAGAAATAGACAAAAGTGTTCCACTTAATGTGTGGCATATGGGAGATATAGTTCTTATTTACCTGCCCACCACTGACTTACCAACTACCTTCTCATACCATGAAGACCTTATCCCTCAGTTCAAAAATTGGACACGGGTGACCCAGTAAGAACATGAGGAGCAGTGGCCATGTCCATACTGAGGGGGAATATGGCTCTGGCCCACTCAGAAAAAAATGACTCCATTGCATACTTTGCAATAAGTTCTTCTGATGCAAGAGACCGGATGATTATAAACATGTCACAGGCTGGATAAAGGAAGCTGAAAGAGGTATGTTGGGTACACGGAAGCAGAAGTGTCTAGCACAGCAGAGTCCATCCATGCAGGGAACGTACAGACAGGTGATCAGATTTGTCAGCTATACTCCTGGCTGTTGGTTGGCCCATTGCTTAGCGTGAGGATTATTTTTGGATGTCAACTGGAATGGACTGATGGAAGCCCAGAGAACAGGTAAAACACACATCTATCTGGGTGTGTCTGTGAGGCTGTTTCCAGAGAAGATTGGCAGGTRGGTGTTATGGTTAGATATGTGGGTGGGGTCCCCCAAAAGCTGATGGGTGAGACAATACAAGAAGGTTTAGAGATTAAATGATTAGATTGTGAGAGCCTTAACCCGGTCCCTAAATTAATGCCCCTAAAGGGGTTAACTTGATGGTTACTATAGGCAGGTACAGTGTGGCTGGAGGAAGTGGGTCATTGGAGGCATGCTTTTGGGGTATATGGTGAATGAAGTCTCTGTCTGCTTCCTGGTGTTATGTCTTGAGCCTTTTTCCTCCACCACATAAATCTGCCATGATGTTCAGCCTTACCTCCTGCTCAGAAGAATGGAGTTGGCTGTCTATGGACTGAGACCCTTGGAACCCTGAGCTACAGATAAACTTATTCCTTCTTCAATTGTTCTTGTCAGGTCTTTTGGTTGCAGCAATGAAAAAAGCTGACTAGAACAGAGAGGGTCAGCAGATTGAGAGGGGAAGACACTATGCAATCAGCTGGACTCCAGATGGAACAGGAAACAAAAGAAGGGGGAAAGAGCGTTCTCTCTCTCTCTCTTTCTTTCTTYCCCCCTCCCCCTTCTTCTTCATCCTGGCAAAATGGATACATTTTCGTTTTCTTTTGTTGCTGCTCTTGGACATCAGACTCCAAGTTCTTTGGCTTTTGAACTTCAGGATTGGCACCAGAGATCCTCCAAWGGTTTGAGGACCTTCAGCCTGAGACTGGAGGCTGTGCTGTTGGTCTCCCTGATTTGGAAGCTCCTGCTTCTCAGACTGAGTCATCACCACTGGCTCTGCAGCATGCAGATGACCATAGTGGAACTTTTCAACCTCTGTGATGATATGAGCTAATTTTAATTCCCTCTCTCTCTCTCTCTCTCTCTCTCTCTCTCTCTCTCTCTCTCTCACACACACACACACACACACACACACACACACACACACACACGTTGTTCTGTTTTTCTGTTTCTTTGGCGAGCCCTCTGCCTCCCCCCCTTTTTTTGGTACTGGGAATTGAACTCAGGGGCACTTGACCACTGAGCCACATCCCCAGCCCTATTTTGTATTTTATTTAGAGACAGGGTCTCACTGAGTTGCTTAGCACCTTGCCATTGTTGAAGCTGGCTTTGAACTTGCGATCCTCCTGCCTCAGCTTCCCAAGCAGCTGGGATTATAGGTGCGCCACAGCACCGGTTCCACTAATACCCCTATTAATCACTCAGGATGAAGTGAAATTTTTCTGTCCTTACTATGTCCAGCATGTTTTCACTCTGAAGACCACACCATACAGTGGCTCAGGCCTTCTCTGATTCCCCCAAGAACTAAAGCTGGGGAGAACTTGGACAGGTTGGCCTATCTCTACCCAAGAATGTACTAAACAAAAGCAATTTAAATGGGCTTGCAGGGCCAGCAGTTATAGTGGAATCAATAGCACAGACACTCAATAAATTCTGATAATTTCATAGTAAAGCAAGAAAAGCAGCATAGTTAGAAAGGGGAGGAAAGTTGGGTTTGTAAATGCAAGCATACCTAGAACATTTACAAAAACTGACCTCTTACTAGGAAATGAAGGAAGTCTCAACAAATGTCAAAAAATAAGTATCACAGAGATTCATTTTCTAACCACAATGCAATGAAGTCAGAAGTCAAGAACAAAACCCACACATTTTTAAAAGAAAATTGAAAGTTTCTAAATTCTAGTTCTGCCAGCTTACTAGCTTCATAGATTCGTTGCTTTTACTTCTGTATGGCTCAGCTTCCTGTTCTTCAATGGGTGTAATGATAATTATTTTATTGACTTGAAAATTACATGGAATAAGGTACTATTTACCCTAAACAGTCAATAAAAACAGACGCKAAAAGTTAAACTGTGAAGTTTAACTCCTGCCAAAGGGTATCTCTCTCTACTGTCCGTATGGTTGCTATTACTTGCTGGCATTTATCAAAAYGCCAATCCAATGTTTAAGTGCCAGAAGGCAATCTGTTGTCAAGACAAGGCATGGATAATATCAGAAAAACTAATGAGGACTTCTGCTCCCAGCCCTGGCAGCGTAACTGGGACCAACTTACTTTTCTGTTGAAAACAACTTTACACCTTATGTGTGCAGCAGGAGTTTCAGGTATCAAGTGACAGGCAGTTCAGGGCTACATTATTTGAGAGAAGGCTAACACRTGAAATGAGCTCCCAACTGTACGAATTTCTTCCTGGGGCATTTTCCTCTCAGGCAGCAGCAAAGTGGAGCCCAGGCACKGTGGTGGCTTCCCTGACTTGGTATGACTGGGATCTGTTAGGTAGAGCCTTGGAGAGGAGGACACTGAACAAAGGGGGACCCATAAGTATGGGGGGGCACCTCAGGCTCTTAGCCAAGATCTGGGTTCCACATGAAAGATGCAGTGAGACCAAGCACTGACTGCCTATTGGGGAATCTGAGAGAAAAATAGTTAAACCAAATTTTATTAATAAAAAACAGACATCTGACCCATCTTCTCTAGAAGAAGAGACTTTCCTAGAATGAATTTCAAAACCACAATAGACCCACCTTTACAAAAACAAAATCAAGCCTGCTAGACAGGAGCATACACTATCCCTTCAACTGTCTGTCAGAAGTATTACCACCTGTTAGAGGACAACAACATTATCATCCAGACTGTCTGTGGTGTCTAATTCATAATACCTAGCAAGTAAAAAGAATTATAGATATGCAAAGAAACAGGAAAATGTGACCCACTAAAAAGAAAGTCAATAGAAACAGACCCTAAAATGATCTAGATTTTGGAATTAGCAGATGAAGAATTTAGAACAACTATTTAAAATATTTTATATCATTGAGAACATTTATTATAACTAGAGCAGAAGTCAGCAATCTTCATAGCTATGATCTAAAAATTGGCTMTCATTTATGTTCGTACATAGAGTTTCAATGGAATAAAGTTATGCCCACCTATTTATACCTTATCTATGGCTGCTTTGCTGCTGCAATGGAAGATTGTATAACCAGCTGGCCTAAAATATTTATTTTCTTACCCTTTAAGAAAAAAAATCACTAACTGCTAATACAAAGGGAAAATGGTTGTGATGAGTGAAACAACACAATAATCTCAGCAGATAAATGAAAAAAAATACATAAAGATAAATGAAAAGTCTAGAACTGAAAGGCACAATATCAGAAATGAACTTTATCATAACTTGGGGGCAAATTAATAGAATTTTTTTGAACTGACAAAAATAGAGAAAGGAATTGAATAGACCTTTAGTGGCCAGTGGAACATTTAATTGAAGTGCCAAAGGAAGATAAGAGAAAGTATGGAGCACAAAAAAATATCTAAAGGAATAATGGCCAGATATTTCTGAAGTTTGGTGACAAACATTGATTTAAATGTTCATTACACCAAGCAGGATATACATACAGAAAATCACTCCTAYGTACATCATAGCCAAACTGCTGAAAACCAAAGGTAAATGAGAAAATCTTAAAAGTGGCCCAAGAAAAAGGACACATAGATAGATGGGAAAATGATAATAATGACTGACTTCTCAACAGAAACAATGGAAACCAGAAAAGAACAGTACAACATATTCACAGTTTTAAAAGAAAAAAAGCCTGTAAACCTACAGTTCTACTTAGAGAAAAATCCTTCAAAAATGAGAGCGAAACTACTATATTTTCAGATAAAAGAAAGATTCAAGAATTTGTTACCAGCACCCCACATTATTAAAAAAAAGTGCTAAGGCAATTTTTCAAGCTATTGGGAAATTATCTAGAAAGGTAAATTTACTGTAAATAATAATGAAATATTTAGGTACACGAAAAGACTACCTTTTTATTGAAAGACAACTTTTAAAATAAAAATGAGTGGGCACAGAGGCTCACACCTGTAATTCCAGCAACTCAAGAGGTGGAAGCCAGCCTCAGCAACTTAAAGAGACTCTCAACAACTTAGCAAATCGCTGTATGAAGAGAAAAAAAATTAAAAATGTATTTCAATGGTAAAGTGTTCCTGTATTCAATCTTAGTACAAAAATAAATAAATAATTATTAAAATAATACTGTAAGGTGAGTTGCATTGCATATATAAATGCAAAATATATAA